TCGGGTCGGGCTAACTCGGGTTCGTTTCTCGGGAATCCAAACCCGAGTTACCCCGGACCCGAGTTACCCCGGATAACTCGGGCGTCCAGAGCCCCGAATCATCAGGGGTAACTCGGGTCAGGGCTAACTCGGGTTCCTTTTCCGGGAATCCAAACCCGAGTTACCCCGGACCCGAGTTACCCCGGATAACTCGGGCGTCCAGAGCCCCGAATCATCAGGGATAACTCGGGTCAGGGCTAACTCGGGTTCCTTTTCTGGGAATCCAAACCCGAGTTACCCCGGACCCGAGTTACCCCGGATAACTCGGGCGTCCAGAGCCTCGAATCATCAGGGGTAACTCGGGTCAGGGCTATTTCGGGTTCCTTTTTCGGAAATCCAATCCCGAGTTACCCCGGACCCGAGTTACCCCGGATAACTCGGCGTCCAGAGCCGCCGAATTAATGCGGGTCAGGGCTAACTCGGGTTCCTTTCTTGGGATCCAAACCCGAGTTACTCCCGGACCCGGTTATCCCGGATAACTCGGGCGTCCAGGTGTCCCGCGCATCTATCTGGGTAACTCGGGTCAGGGATAACTCGGGTTCGCTTTTCGGGAATCCAAACCCGAGTTACCCCGGACCCGAGTTACCCCGGATGAATCGGGCGTCCAAGAGCCCCGAATCATCAGGGGTAACTCGGGTCAGGGATAACTCGGGTTCGTTTTTCGGGAATCCAAACCCGAGTTACCCCGGACCCGAGTTACCCCGGATAACTCGGGCGCCCAGAGCCCCGAATCATCAGGGGTAACTCGGGTCAGGGATAACTCGGGTTCGTTTTTTCGGGAATCCAACCCGAGTTACCCCGGACCCGAGTTACCCCGGATAACTCGGGCGTCCAAGAGCCCCGAATCATCAGGGGTAACTCGGGTCAGGGCTAACTCGGGTTCGTTTTTTCGGGAATCCGAACCCGAGTTACCCCGGACCCGAGTTACCCCGGATAACTTCGGGGGGGGGGCGTCCAGAGCCCCGAATCATCAGGGGTAACTCGGGTCAGGGCTAACTCGGGTTCCTTTCTCGGGAATCCAAACCCGAGTTACCCCGGACCCGAGTTACCCTGGATAACTCGGGCGCCCAAACTTGGGGCTCCAGCCGTCTCGGCTCTCGGGGCCCGCCGCGCGGGGTGGCGGCCCCGCATCGGGGAGGGCAGCGCGAGCACCTCGAGCCGGTGCGGTAGCGACTCGGCCCGAGGGCCAAGAGGAGCAGATTACCAGCCTCGAACGTATCCCTATCTCGGGGGTGGACAGAACCCCCAACAGTGACACGTCGATTAGTGAATTGTCCGTTTTCGGTTCTCGAGAGGGCGCCGTGGCCGCTATTTTCCAGGCTTGCGCCCGCCAGGCTTGGGCCTCAGGTCGTTTTCACTAAACCACGTTTTGCTAAAGGGGGGTCTGTCCATCCCCGACTATCCCTAAGATTGACACGCCAAAAGGCGATGACAATCTTAGGGATTCGCCCTCAAAAAATCTGGGAATCCCTAAGATTGGCATCGTGATGAGGAGATGCCCAGCATAGGGATAGGGATATGTTCCAGGCTGGTAAGGAGACAGGATCGCTTCGAGGACCAGCTGCGGCGACGGCGTCCGCGGGGAGGACAGTCGCGGCGAGGAGCTCGAGGAGGCCTCGGTCGCCACCAGCAGGGGCAGCGGGCCTCGGCGCCACGCCGACATGCTCAGGCTAGATGCGCGTCGCCCCTCCCTCCCAGGGGCGACGCGCGCACCGAGAAATCTCGCAGCACATGTGTCGGCTACACGTAAGACTGACCCTTGGCCGGAGTGACCCTCGGTGCGGGCCCAGTGCGGCCCCCCAGTGGCCGAAACTCGCCGCGAGACGCTGGCGGCGGCCTGCGCGCCCGAGTTTGGCCCCGCGGCGGCCCCCGCTGAGCCGCGCTTGCCCAGGGTCACTCTTGCGTGTAGCCGAACGTGTATCGTCTTCGGCACCGCCTGATTCCGGGGCTTTGCCCCCTCCTGGCCTTGACGTGAGGCCCCTCCTTCTGCCCCCCCCTTGTTAATGAAAGCTATGCGCGGCCCGCTTAGCTTCGACCGGAAGAGGTGCGCTCTCGACCCGCAGATCAAAAAAGGTAGCCGAACGTGTCGTGGCGGGCGCTCTCCGGCCACACCGCTCGGGGAGCGGCGTGCTGCAGGGGCGGCGCGGGCGCAGGGCGGCGGGCGGCGGGGGGCCAGGCGCAGGGCGGCGGCGGCTGCCCAGGCGTGCGCGCACTTGGAGAGCGCAGAGGCGCGCCTCCTGGGAGAAGGCTCCGTGGCCGTCCTCATTCAAGCAGTGGCGAAGCGATCCGGCGTGTCTATAGCCCTACCAAACAATGTTTTAAGAACCTTTCGTGATTTCCACGAAATGTTCTTAGAACATTTCTGGCGGGGTCTGTCTCGTTTGAACACATCGGGTTTATGTTCTAAGAACCTTGTTTTTGTTATTGGAACATTTTCGGGTTCTAAGACCACTTCGTGATATGACAAATGGAATGCCGGGACGGTCGGTCCCTGCTCAACTCATTGGTATAAGTGGACGAGCGCGTTCCATTACTCGCAAGGTAGCCACTCGCAAATGGCCTGGATCCGCCAAGGGGGATCTACGATAAATGATATGCAAGCAGACACACGTGTTTCGGGCGTTTGCGAGTAGGCACTTTGCGAGTAGTTCCCTTCCCCAGGGGCGGGGGTGGGGAAAGGGATACTCGAGTAGGGCAGTTGGAGCATCAGAATCTAAAGCCTCCCTTCCCCCCCCCCCCCAGCCCAGGCGCGAGAGAACCGGGGGAGTCACGCCGCAGCCGCCGCCATCTCGCGGCGTCACGCCCCCGTCGAACGCCTCGCTCCTTTCAGACGCCAGCGCCGAAGCCGTTCTCCTCGCCGGTGCCCTCGCCGCCGCCGCCGCCGCCCCGGTGGTTGGCACGTCGCCGTGCTCCCTCTCCGCGCGGGGCGTTGCGACGACGCTCAGGACTCCATCTGTCAGAGCCCCGAATCATCAGGGGTAACTCGGGTCAGGGCTAACTCGGGTTCGTTTTTCGGACATCCGAACCCGAGTTGCCCCGGACCCGAGTTACCCCGGATAATTCGGGCGTCCAGAGCCCCGAATCATCAGGGGTAACTCGGGTCAGGGCTAACTCGGGTTCGCTTTTAGGGAATCCGAACCCGATTTACCCCGGGCCCGAGTTACCCCGGATAATTCGGGCGCCCAAATCTGGCTGCGGCATCTTACGAGCTGGATGGATCTGCGAGGGTCCCGAGGCCCGAAACTGGGCGAGCAAGAGCGCACAGTGCGGAAACGTTGCAGCGCCAGGATCTCGAGGAAGGTCGTCGTGGCGTCACGGATACAGCTCGCCCTCGCCGCCTGGGGCGATGTCTGGATTTTCTCAGTATGCGTTCCAGGAAGTCCCCCGACCCTTTGTGGCATCGCTCGGACGTGTGCGTGTTACTTTGGTGAGGACTATCGAGGAGCGTCTTGGATCATCTTGCAGAAAAAAGACCACGCACAATACTTACCGAACATGCACGGAGAATGGATGGATGTCCGGGCGATGGCAAGCTTTCCCCATGGCTGGTTTCTCATCTCGAGTAGTGCAGTGACAGGCCCGAGGCCCAGCGAGGGCCCCCGAAGGCCGAAAATGACCCAGAACCTCTCGTGACGATTTGTTTCCTTCCGCGGCGCGCCTGGAGGGAGGTGAGAGGGGGCAGGCTTTCTCAGAAGGCGGCCGGGCTTCTCGGCACCCCCGCGCCTTCCAAGGTGCGTGTCCTCTGTGTGTTCGGAGACGGCTTCGCAGGCTGCGCAGCACGCCGGAGGCCTCCCGGGTCTTTCAAAGGAGGCCCGCCCCTTCCCGCTTCCCCCCCGGGCGCGCCGCTTCGTTTTGCGACGCGGGCCACTCAGGGGCAACGATAGGGGGGGAGAGGCATCGGGGGGATGCATCGACCCCCAATCGCCCATTGATCGCCGATAGGGGGCCGATAGCCCCAACCTGCCCAGGAAGGTGTGGACTCACTATCGGAGGCCCATCGCCGATGTGTCGGCGATGTACCGCCGATCCCAGGTCGAGGCATCCCCCCCCTATGCCAGTCCCCCATCGTTGCCCCTCGGCCACGTGTGGGTCAACGCCGCCGCGCCCTCGGCGGTGCCTCCTCGCCACCGCCGCCCAGGTGGTGGGCGTGCTGCCGTGCGCCCTCTCCGCGTGGGGCGTGGCGCACGGCCAGCGGGACGCCAAGGGCGTGCTCGACCCGGAGGGGCGTCCGGGGGGCGGGTCGCCGCCCTCGAGTGACTCCCCTCCTGCGCCTCGTCCCGCTTCGCGCGGGGCTCGGGCGAGGGTACACGCTGGTCGTTGGAAGTAATGCTCGGTGTGTCTGGGTGCCCAGATCCCAATCTGTGTCGAGCGCCTTGGTGCTGCAAGAGCCGATGTGCTTTGGCTGTGTCTTGTTATTGTGTGAGAGGGCCTGAGCCCAATCTACTTTATCCGCCGTCCTACTTCATGTTTTCACCTACTTCTTCTGACAGACGTGTAAATCCGTTCCAGAGCGCCCCAGAGCGCTCTCAGAGCGTTCCGGGACGCTCTGAGAAGGCCGCGGCGCCCGAGGCATCCTCAAGAGCCGCCAGATCTCGGAGATTCTCGATTTCTCTCACGCGAACTGGACCTCGTCCTTGCTTCCTCTTACTCTTCGGGTTTGCTTCTACCTTATCTGTAGGTTTTATGCAGCGCTGCAGCTGTCTCAGTCAGCCCAGGAGTGTCCCAGGTGTGTACGAGGTAATCACAGCGATTACTTCTTAGATCGAGTCTCTCGTGGCAGCTGGCCTGAAAGCGTACAGCAAAGCTGAGCTGGCCAAAAAGCAGACCAAGAAACTGCCATCCGTAATCGCCAGATCCAAAACCCCAGAACACCTCCTCCTCCTCCTCCTCCTCCTCCTCCTCCTCCGGCGAGACGTTCGACGTCGTGAGGCCCCTCGGCGAGGTTGTGCCCCTCATCTGATGAGGGGGCTGGGCGGGCGCCCGACCCTCGACCTCCGAGACCCGCGATATCGATATCCTCCTCTTCCTTCTCCTCCTCCTCCTCCTCCTCCTCCTCCTCCTCCTCCTCCTCCTCCTCTTCCTCCCTCCTCCTCCTCCTCCTCCTCCTTCCTCCCTCCTCAGAGAGGAACAGGTGCCGATGCCGCCACGCTTCCTCCCCTTGCTCTCGCCCCTGTGGGGCCTCCAGGGGAGGCGTGCCTGTCTTGTAGGTCGAGCCCTGCGGCCCTCGCGCACCGCTCGCCTCCAGGGGCGCTTTCGCTCTCCCAGCCTCCCAGCCCCCCCTGCGCTAAGAGAGACAACAACGCTGCGACGAATTAGTGTTTTTCGTGGTTGTTGAACATTATTTCTTTTAAAGAATAATTATTGTTGGGACCCCTGGTGCACGGCCCCCCGCCGCGCCTAGGCCGCAGACATTTTTCATCATTTTCGTGAGGAAGTCTCAGGCAAAACGGGTTGGTCCGGATCCGGTTGTTTTGTTACGGGCGGTTTTCCCTTGCAAAAAATAAGCAAAGTGGACATTTCTTGTTCTAACATAACCAAACTTCAAGAATCCCTTGCAAAAAATAAGGTAAAGTGGACATTCGCGCGCGCAAGACGAAATCCTTCCAAAACCTTAGTTTTCGTAGCGATTTTAACATAAAAACATCAAAAAACAAATGGTTTTTCAAAAAAAAATTGTCAAAATTTCATCCCGCGCGCTCTTGCGGATTCGTAGGAAACCCAACACTTTTTAATCATTTCTGTCAAACGGGCTTTTGCGAGCAACTTTTTCGAACTTCTGCAACAACGGTTGCGCACCTGCCAGGGCCATCATCCCTGTCAAATAATACCATGCGGGACACATTCGTTTTTTCTTCGCGCGCGCACGCCGTCGTCGTCGGCCGCGGGGCCCTGAATAGTAGCCACGGTCGTCCGCATGCCACGAAGTGAAGTGTCCGAACGTCATAGGGCGGGAAGCTGGGTGTGGGTGGTGGCGAAGAGTCGTTTGGAAATTTGGTAGAGCTTGAACCGGCCCCCCCACAAAGTGGGGGTATTGCCCGCCTCCTATGAAAACCCTGGCACTGGTGAGAACGGTGTGTCCCCACGTGCTAGTAATTGTTGTTGTTGTTGTTGTTGTTGTTGTTGTTGTGGTTGTGGTTGTGGTTGTGGTTGTGGTTGTGGTTGTTGTTGTGGTTGTTGTCGTGGTTGTTGTTGTCGTTGAGTTCTCATTTCTGAAGAATTATTATGGTTGATCCCCCTGCCCGGTGCACATTGTATTTTTGTCGAATGAAGTGCGCGTCCCGGGGCTCGCACCCTGTTTGTTTTAATCGGGGGAAGTCTTGACGGTCAAACTGTGTCGACGGTTCCCAGTTTACAACGACGGCTCCCGCTTGATACTTCTTCACACTGTATTGACGAATCGCGCTCTCGCTTGGGACCCCCCTCCCGGCGATTTACCACCGAACCGCGGCTCCCGCCTGATACATCCTGACAATGTATTGCAGAGTCGCGTTCTCGCTTGGGACTTCCCCGCAACTTACCACCGAACCGCTTCGCTTGATGTTTCCTCACAATTTATTCAGAGACCCGTCGTCGACACTCAGGAATCGCGCTCCCGCTACATATTGCCTGGCGGCTCAAGCAGGACTCACGCTTCAACGACCCGCCCGCTCGACCCGCCCGTCGGGGCCTGCCCGCTCGACCATCCCGTGAATGAATGCAGTCGCCGCTCGCTGCCCTTCCGCTCGCCTTCGATGTCCCTCGTTGCCCGTACTGGTTCCGCGGTCGCCTTCGTTCGCTGCCCTTCGTGGCCCTGTTGCTGCCCTCAGTGGCCCCGTCGCTGCGTCGGTTGGCCCTGCATTATATGCCCTTCGTGGCCCCCGCTCGCACGCGCCCAATTTGGCCCCTTCGTAGCCTGGCTGTCGCCCTTCGTGGCCCCCTCGCTGTTTTTCGTGGCCCCCTCGCTGCCCTCAGTGGCCCCGTTGTCGCCCTTTCTGGTCCGTATACGAAAGCCGTTCGTGGCCCCCGCTCGCTCGCGCCCATCGTGGCCCCATATGCATGCCTTTCGTGGCATCGCTGTCGCTTTTTGTGGCCCCCTCGCTGCCCTTCGCCTTCAGCGGCTCCGTCGCTGCCCCCTTTGGCCTCGGATTGTATGCCCTTCGTGGCACACGTTGGCTGCTCGCACGATGTACTTGGTAACCGCGCTATCGACTCACGCAGGACCCACGCTTCAGCAACCCGCCTGCTCGACCTCGTCGCCCGGGCCCGCCTTCCCGACCTGCCCGCGATGGGTCTGCCCACCCGATCCTCTCCCGTCTGGTTATACCACTTGTTTTCTGCTCCATGTCCCCCTCCCGCTAATTTCTCTCGTGTTCCATTCTTCTCCCTCCCCCTTTCCACCCGTCCTCTTTTTGGAGGCTTGGAGATTGGCACCAACACCAGCCCAGGGGGTATGATCCTAGATGCGGGTGTTGGTGGTGATGTTTCGGCCACTGTGGAAGCCAAAATATTACCACCATCGCTGAGATCGGGATCGTATTCCCTCGGCGGAGGAACGCTGCCGATTTCGGTCTTGGTGTCAACCCCCAGGCGTGCGATACCTTCCCTTCTTTTTGGGGCTGCATTCAATACGCGTAGCAGGTAAAGAAGACAGACCCCCAAGGGGTACGATCGAAGGCGACGAGGGCGGTTACCTTGGGTTATACGTATTGATTGGCACGTGTGCAGACATGAACGAACAGGCTGAACTTGATTGCTGTTGCTGCTGTTGCCGAACTGTCATAACTGAATAATCATTATTGTTGACCCCCCGGTTAACATTGTAGTTTCTAATTGAACTGCCCCTCCCGGTGATCGCACTCGGCTTTCAATAAGGAAACGTTTTCCTCCGCAAGCAATGTCGTTGGCGCCTGGATTACATCAACAACGGTTCCCGCTTGAGACCCCCGCTCCCGCCTGAGACTTCCTCGCAGTTGACTCAGGAATCGCTCTCTCGCTTGGGACTTCCTTGAAACTGATTCAGGAATCGCTCTCTCGGCGCTCTGGAGTCGCGCTCTCGCTGGAGATTCGCAACTTACTCAAGAATAGCGCCCTTGCGTCGGCAATGTACTGAGGGGCCGCGCTCCCGACACTCAGGCACCCAAGTGTCGCGCTCACGACCAGGATCCCTTCGCAAAGTATTTAGCAATCAGGATCATATCGCTGCCCTTCGTGTCCCCATTGCAGCCCTTAGTGGCCCCCTCGCTGCCCTTCGTGGACCCGTTGCAGCCCCTTGTGGCCCCCTCGCTGCCCGTCGTGGCCCCGTTGCAGCCCTTTGTGGCCTCCTCGCTGCATTTCGTGGCCCAGTTGCAGCCCTTCGTGGTTCCCTCGCTGCCCCTTGGTGGCCCCGTTGCAGCCCTTCGTGGCCCCCTCGCTGCACTTCGCGGCCCCGTTGCAGCCCTTCGTGGCCCCGTCGCTGCACCTCGTGGCCCCGTTGCAGCTCTGCGTGGTCCCCTCGCTGCCATTCGCGGCCCCGTTGCAGCTCTTCGTGGCCCCCTCGTTGCCCCTCGTGGCCCCGTTGCAGCCCTTCGCGGCCCCGTTGCAGCCCCTCGCGGCCCGGTTGCAGCCCTTCGTGGCCCCCTCGGTGCCCTTCCTGGCCCCATATAGGTACGGCCTTCGTGGCCCCCGCTCGATCGCGCCCGTCGTGGCCCCTTGCGCACACCCTTCGTAGCCCCGCTGTCGCCCTTCGTGACCCTGTTGCAGCCCTTCGGTGGCCCCGTCCTTCCCTCCGCGGCCCAATATACGTATGCCTTTCGCGCCCTTCCGTTTTTTCGCGCCCGCCGCCTCAGCACGTTTCAGTTGAAGTGCCCCCCCAGGCGCTCGCATTTTTTATCAGGAAAAGTTTTCCTCAAACTGTGTTGTTGGCCCCCTGGTTACAACAACAACGGCTCCCGCCTGATATTCATTCACAATTTTGCCAGGACCCCCGCTCCCGCCTGAGATTTCCTCGCAGTTGATTCAGGAATCGCGCTCGCGCTTGAGACTGCCTTATCATGTAGTCAGGGATCGCTCTGTCGGCGCCTTGGTTGCGATTTCGCTGGAGACTTGCTTGCAATGTACTCAAGACTGGCGCCTTTGCGTTGGAGCGTCCCGCAATTTACTCGAGCGCCGCGCTCCCGACACTCAGGCACCCAGGAGTCGCGCTCACGCTTAGGACCCCTCGCAGATAATTTAGGAATTGGGATCTCGCTGCCCTTCATGGCT